GAAGCTGAATATCAGCCTGTCTCAGCATGCAGGGGAGGGGGAAGGGAGAGGGAGTGAGTGTGGCTTGTCTCTTAAAGAGACAGAACACATCATTACATACGGGATTCAATTTTTCCTCTCTTCCTAAAAGTCTGTTTATTTGTGTTGGATCGACCAGGAAGAAACAGGTAGGCTTTAAGCAATGGTCCACAATCACTGCTCCCTTGTGCCATGAACTACAGACAACAGTTCTCAGTCCATGTCAGATGCATTCTGTTGTGTAAGTGTCATTTACTGTATTATATATAACTGTCTAACACCATGTTGATTGTCACCATAAAATGTGGCACAACTTCCATGTGCCTCCAGTAGCCGTTGCCTCCATTGAGTCTGGTAGCAAGAGATTCTGGGCATCCATGCCTAACAGAGCCATAATAGTCATAGTATTTCACTAAACAAAGCCCAACCTACTCGACAGGTTTATATGGCATTGGATAAAGGCCCAAGGCTCCAATTTATAAGTGTTTTGCTCCTGACAACTGCTGTGGTTGAGGTGAAGAGAAGGATGTAATTGAAGGCAATGCAGGACGATTTGGTCTGGGACATTAGAAGGAAATAATGATTGCTTTGGACTCTGTATGGAAGTGATATCTGATGTCTTACCAGACTGAACTACACATATTTTCCATATCACTCATTATTTTAGAGCAGGGGTTAAAGTCCTAATTGCTGACAGCATATAGTTTAGCTTTAGAAAGGTTTACATTCAGCAGCCATAGCTAAATATTTCCCATTAAGAATATTAACATTTTAGTTTTGGTTATTGAGACAGGATTACTGTGATACAGCCACAGCTGTCCTGAAACTTGTTTTGTAGACCAGGGTGGCCTCAGATTCACAGAGATGCACCTGCCTCTGCCTCCCAATTGTTGAACTTGAAGTTGTGTGCTGTAACATGTGAGTTTGCTTGTTGGGGTTTCTGTCCTGCCCAGTTTCCACAGCAGGTAAGCCCCCCCTGAAAATACCACACAGAAGGTCTACATAAGTTATAAAACTGATTGTCCCATTAGCTCAGGCTTCTTACAAACTATTACTGTTCATATTAGCCCATTATTCTAGTATATGTTAGCCATATGGATCGGTACCTTTTTCAGTGGGGCAGGTCACATCCTTCTTCTTCGGTGTCTGGACAGGACTGGGGAGTAAAGGGCTTCCTCCTTCTCAAAATTCTCCTGTTCTCATTGACCCACCTCTACTTCATGTTTGGTTGTCCAGCCTATACTTCCTGCCTGGCTACTAGCCAATTAGCATTTATTTAAAACATAATTGACAGAATATAGACAATTGTTCCACACCAGTGTGCCAAAACACCTTGCTTAATTTTAATATTTTTATTCTCTAATGAACTTGGTTAAAACTGCAGAAAATTTATTGGCAATATTAATAATAACTATGGCCCTTAGCTAAGGTTTCTACTAATGGGAAGAGACACCATGACAACAATAACTCTTATAAAGGAAAAATATTTGAACAATGTGGTAGCTTACAGCTCAGAGGTTCAGTCCATTATCATCATGGCAGGGAACATAGGAGTGTCCATGCAGACATGGTGCTGGCTCCATCTTGATCACAAAACAATAGGAAGTAAACTGAGATACTGGGTGTGGCTTGGGCATATAGCAGACAGATCTCAAAGCCCACCCACACAGTGGCATACTTCCTCCAACAAGATTACACCTACTCCAATAAAGCCACACCTCCTAATATTGTCATTCCCTATGAGCTTATGCAGGACAATGCCATTCATACCCTTGGCATAGAAAGATAGATCTTTAATTTTCTCATGGGCTTTAGACACTAGGCTTAGCAGTGTATTCACAAAGAACATATTGATCCAGAGAATTTACATTATTTTGGCTCAGCATTTCATCCCTCCTTGGTGACATTGTGAGCCTGGAATGCTCATCTGCGTAAGTGAGCATCTAAATATTAATAAATGACTCATCTCTAGTACACACAGGATTGTATTTGACACAAAGACCTCACTGTGTTGGCCAAGATTCGTAAACACTGCTAAAAAAGAAAAATCATTGAGTAATTATTATCTCCATGAATATCTGAGGTATATTATGGCACTATTCTTGGGTGTAAAATGTATTCTCGTCTACCCACACATTCAAATTGGTATATTTGTTTTTTTTTTGTGCTCCCGATTTCAAGAGCTTAAAGAAGGTTATTTGGAGGTACCAGAGTGTGCCTGTTAAAATGTAACACAAATCATGCTGTACTTCTGCTTTACATGCGCAACGATCTGCCATTCTCAGTCAAAGGAAAAGCAGAATTCCACTGTAGAGGTTGTAACCTGCAGGGCTTTGGTATCTGCTACCCTTGTGACTTCTCTGAGATCACTTCCTACAGTTCTCTTCCTCCCTCCATCAGCCCCCATCATGCTGCCATCCCAGCTGCTCCTCCTCACATGTGCCAGGTCTTCTCTGAGCTCCAACAACTGTCATCACTCTACCTGGAATGCTCTTTCTCCTTTACTGCTGCCAAGGGGCCACACTCTCACTACCTTCATGTTTTCATTCCAAATCTAGAGGATCCGGGAAACCTTTCTGAACCACTCTGTTTCTCTGTAAAGAGCGTTATCTTCAAACTTCATTTTCCCAATCCTGGCCTAGGTGTGTCCTTTCCTATCACTTACGAATATGAAAATATTTCCAATAGATTTATGAACTACGTGGCTAACTACACATCTGACACACTACAAAAGAATTTCCATGAGGATAAAATCCATTCATCTGCTATATCTGCTCACCTCACCTCTGTGTCCCGAATAGTGTCTGGTACAGTCCACCCAAAGTGTTTATGGGATGAAGGTAAAACAAATGAATGAAGAATCCATGGAATTGAGCATATGAAATCAGACAAGTATCCATGCTTCTGGCCATAAAGCTGCAAATGAACCTTCTTCCAGAGCATGGACTCAAATTTTACCAAGGCATGGCCAACTAAAACCTTTCCAAGGTGAAAATGAGGTCAACCCACCCTTCCTTGTATTCCAGTTGAGAGACGGGTCCTATCCCAGGACGTTTATGTGATATGAACTTACCACAAGTCTAATTGGATGCAGAACACAGCAGAAACATAACCAACCAACAAAACATGAAAGCTGGCAGAAGTGCTCACCAGAGGACCTGCTGGTGTTGTCTGAACAAAACCACATGATGTAGGAAAGAAAACTAAGGCTGTCCTGTGAGGTGTGCTTGACGTGTGTCATTCTTGAAGCAGTTTATAGAGTCAACGCTTGCTCAGTGGTGAGCATCGATGAGGTTTAGCACTTTCTTTCCGTGTCTGGCCAATCCTTGCTTGCTCCAAGTGTGTCTTTAGGAAGACCCCCACAGCAAGAACCAGAAACACAGTTCTCTTGGGAGGCAACAGGTGAAGGAGGAGGCAGAGCACTCACAGTGTTCTCAGAGGGACTTTGAAAGGTTGGGGAATGACAACAGAGATCAGAAGAGGACAGGGACCCATGTCCTGAACTCCACAGTTGTGAGACACTTTCCTGGCATCCCCAGTTCCTCTTTGCATGGAGTTCAGCCCTTTCAAAGGGCAGTTTCCAGCCAAAGAAATTACTTAAGCAAAGTCACACTTCCTAGCCCTACCACCATCCTCAGGTTATACCATCTTCTTGCAAAAGAGAGGTGCACACATCTCCATCAGGGGTAGTTGTGGGTTTAAAAAGGAAGGGGGAGCTAGTTTGGATAGGAGGTACCTTGAAGGTGTCAGTTGCTACAGGCTTTTCAGGGAGTCTAGTCAGAATGGGATGCCTAAGGAAAAACAGTTTTCTTTGCCTGGGCACTGAATGGAGCCAGGTGGCTGTGACAGAGCATGGACAGCCAAGTTCTGTCTATATCATGGAGACATTAGGCACAGCCATCAGATGACCCATCCCCCCCAGGAAGGCAAGGATTACTCCAGCAAGCAGAAGGACAGTGTCAGCATGCTATTCCTGGATTCACAAATTTTCCCAAAGAAAGTACTTTCCCTTTGCCCAGAACTAGCCATGAACTCTTGTTAGTTGCTTAGGCTTCAGACTGTGTCAGACTCTCTGAAAACAGACAAGCCTGATATGTAGATAGAAATTTGACATTGGCTTCCATTCTCCCAGTAGGCCCTAAGGAAGGCCATTCAGTGACCCTCTAACATAGGAGTTTTGCTTGACAGCTGACCATTGCCACTATGAGCAGCCAGAAAGAAGAAGGTGGATGCATCAGGTCATTCTTCTTGCAATGCTCCTCCCAGTTAAGCTTAGAGTGTACTGTGTCCTATGTGTGCATCCTCCTGGCCTCTGAAGTCCCAGAGGCTATCCTCAGGGACCTCTCTGCACAGTAGATCTTTTCTACCCTTCTTGTGTCCCTCTTCACACTGCTGTGTGTATTCTCCTACGGGAGTTCCTTTGGTTTTCTGAAAGCCAGAAGATGCCAGAAGGCTTCACCCTGTTAACCCTCCTGCCCTTCCCAATCCATGTTTCTTGCTTCACTTTATCCATCACCCAAGGAGACTCTCTCTCACTCTGGCTCCCCTCCACTTCTCCCTAGGCAGTCCCCTCTTCCACAGCCCAACTCCAATTCCTTCTCCTCCTCCCCCCCAGGACCAGACCTGCTAAGTCCCATTCCATTTTTAGATGATACTAGCTCTCTTCTCTCACAGGCTGAATTGACAGCTGTTCCCTCCTTCCCTGATCCACCCACCAAACACATCCAGTGTTTTCCATACGGCAAAGTGCTTACAGACAACATGCCAGACACACAGAAATGTGTTTCCTCAGGGTAAACTTACACACAAGGCGAGCTCCCAACAAACTTAAAAGCAGCAGCCTCTGAACATCTAGAACTGACAACTTTATTTCAACAGTTGTGGTGGTGTAACTTTGCCAATTAGGCATTTTTCACAAAGTCATAGACATAGATATGAAAATCATCGTCAAATTTAATAAAATACACTGATGGTAGGGCTTCTACTTTGCCAACCATCTTTCCCTCTCTTTTGGTGCCATCATCATTGGTATATTCAACATGTTTTCCTATCAGATCATCCTCAAATTCCAGGTCCACATCTAGTGGAGGAATCTCATTATACTTTGACAGAATTCGGAGTTCACCCTCTTTATAATCATCCAGAAGCTCGTACATGTATAAGACTGGGTCGTTCGTATAGGTAATGTAAAAGAAGGTATTAAGGATAGGAGCTTGGGCCAGAACCATCCCCCTCCATTGATCTTTTGAGCCATGCTCACCCTCAAATATGTGCTCCACCACTTTGCCAATTATGGTATCAGCAATTTTGGAATCAGGGACTGGGGATGGTTTTACTGCATCAGAGAGCACTTTAAGGGACAACACCCTTTCATCTTGGTGAAGTTCCAATCCATAGACACAGTCTATTCCATCGTATTTCACCAGATAGAGAGAGGGATTTATGGCCACCTGATCCAGAACCGTTCCTCTCCAATGGGTGATGGGTCCATCCCCTTCCTTCCACTTGTGAGAAATTCTGCAGCCCACGATGTTCCTTTGGGCCAGGGATGAAGATGCACTCCTCTGCCTCTTCTGCGTAGGTTTTTTCTTGGTCAAGTTTGGAGTTTCCTTGGTGTAGTTCTTACAGGACTCATGCCCAGCAGCTGCATCTGCGGGTTCCCCTTGAGTCTCAGTGGCACAGAAATACCGGGAGCTGGTGTCTGGGTCCATGACTGCATTGGGAAAATGGGAAGAGACAGTTAGCTGAGGGGATAAAGGGCCAAATTACCCACCCAACCCCCAACTCCCGTTAGTTGCCTCCACTCCAGGGGCCTGTTCCATAACAGCTACCCCCTCCTCATGGAGCCTGAGAGCAATGCTGGACACCTGGCTGGATGCCTCCTGGTTCCCTGGTGTTGTTGGGAAGGGCAGGAGAGCTGCACTTGGGTGGAGGATACAGAACAGGATTTGGGCCTCCGAAATGCTGGAACCCGTGACTCTTAAGCTCAACTGTCTAAGCCACGTGCCTCACCCCCACGTGGCTGGAGCAAACCTGTTTGGAAGCTCAGCAGAGTGGCACAGCAAAGCTCCTCCCCTCCCTGCACCTTACCCTTCACCTCAGAGTCCTTAGCATTCGTCCAGGAATTTGCTTTTTCTCCCCACTAATGCCCTCATGAAATTGTTAGTGAACATGAGTATCCCTTCGTTTTCATTGGAAAAACTTTGAAGAGGGATGTGTGCTAGCACATTAGACTGCCGTTTTGACCTAGTCTCTCCCGAATTTTTACTGACCTTCACTATCTTTCATTTGGGCGGGCTTTTTCTTGTCTTTTCCCCTCCCCTTTCTGCTTTAGTCTATGGAAAAGTAATCATGTTTATACCTTGAGTGCTATGTAAATTTATTGAAACTGACATGAAGGACATGATTTCAGTTGTATCTTTCATTTCAAGGTCTCACAACAAAATATTATTTCCTTTTCCTATTAGTGCTTTCTAAGGACATTACATAGATTTAAAATTAGTTTTCTTTTTTATTTAATATATAATTATTTCTTCCCTGATGTGCAAAATTTGATTTTGTGATCATCTGTAGCTTTCTTGTAATCTCTCAGTTTTGGAAGAATAGTTTCACAATAACTGGTAATGAAATTTATTCATCAGAATGTATATCTTTGTTGAATATGTTAAGTTCTGAGGAGAAAAACAACCAATTTGTAATCTGTGAATTAAGACTTGGTCTCTTAAACAAATACAGAAGTAATAATTTAATCGTTTTACTTCTTGGTTTTACGAGACAGGGTTTCTTAGTGTAACATTCTTGTCTGCTTTAGAACTTGTCATGTAGACCAGGCTGGTCTTGAACTCACTGAAATCCAGCTGCCTCTGCCTCCCAAGTTCTGGGATTAAGGGCATGCACCACCACCACTCAGCCTAATATTTTTGTTTTGTGTTTCTTTGTTTTGTTCGTTTGTTTTGTTTGTTTGTTTGTTTTCATATTGTTTTTTGAGACAGGGTTTCTCTGTAGCTTTGGAGCCTGTCCTGGAACTAGCTCTGGTAGATCAGGTTTCCCTCGAGCTCACAGAGGTCCACCTGCCTCTACCACTCGAGTGCTGAGAATAAAGGTGTGTGCCACCACTGCCCAGCTCTGGCCTAATATTTTTATAAATTGAGTTGCTACTTGATTCATAAAACTTTAAAATATAGAAAAATCAAACACAACAAAAAAGCAAATAAGCACATCCCATGCCATAAATAATAAATCATGAATCTGAAACAAGATGTTTATCTTAACAGTTGTTTTTAAAGAAAAAAATGACTAAATGGTAAAAGAACAAAATTTTGATTCAATATTTAAAGTATAAGAGGCTATTAAGCTACTATTGATTTTTTCAAAGAGGTCTATATTCAATGGTAATATAAGAGAATGTTCATTTTGTCTTTATAGACAGCAATCAGCAGATAGGCCATGGTTTCTCTAAGGTCACGCTAAAACTCACACCTGAGATTGGAATCCCAACTGTGGTGGTTTGAAAACAAAATAATTTCCATAGGCCCTTAGGAAGTGGTACTATTAGGAGGTGTGGCTTTGTTGGAGCAGGTGTGGCATTGTTGGAGGAAGTGGGTCACTGGGGACAGGCTTTGAGGTTTCAGTTGCTCAAGCCAGGTCTAGTGTTTCTGTCTCTCTCTGTTGCCTGTGGATCCAGATGTAGAACTCTCAGCTACTTCTCCAGGTTCATGTGTGCCTGCATGCCTCCATGCTTCCAGTCATGATGACAGGACAGACCATATTTTTGTTTGGAGGAATATGGATTAGAAAACAGTTGAACAGTTTAAGATGGTGAAGATGTAATTGAACATGTGGGCCATGTTTCAGCCTCTGCAAGCCAAAGAACTTGGCAGCTTCAGCCATGTGGCACTGGCTTTAAAATGAAGGATAGAAGAAAGCCATTATGGAATTGCCCTTCACGACTAAGGACAGCTGCTGAGTCAAGGCATGTGTCAGGGGTGTCTGTGCATGGAGACCTAGAGAGGACACTGCATGAAGTTGTAAAGTTGAAGCCTGAGTTACCTCAGAGACCCCAAGTTGCCAGAGATGCCCGAGGCATGGGATACCTCCTAATGGAAGCTGCTAATGGGGAGGGGTCCTGCCCAAGAGAAAGAAGTTTGTTGCAGTCAACAAAGCTAAAAGAATTGGAGATCTGAAGAATGTTTTGACATCAGATATGGAGATGAAGAGTTTGCTCAACTGTTTTTAAGTTTTGCTTTGGTCCAGTATTTCCTCATGGATGTCTGCTTTTTATGTGTTCTTCTTTACCACTTTGATTTTACAGGGGATTACAGTAAAGAGACTGCATAAATCTCAGAAGAGACGTTGAACTTAATGACTTTTAAACAAGTTTGAGACTGTTATAGACTATGGGACCTTTTATAATTGGACTTTATGCTACTATAGCCTGTGGGGACCAGGGCAAGGAATTTGGTGGTTTGAAGGAAAATGGCTCCCATAGGCTCATTGGTAGTGTTACTATTAGGGGATATTGCCTTGTTAAAATAAGTGTGGCATTGTTGGAGGAAATACATCACTGGGGCCAAGCTTTGAAGTCTCAGATGCTCAAGCTAGGCCCAGTTTGGCATTCTCCTTCTGCTGCCTGTGGATCAAGATGTTGGACTCTCAATTCCATCCCTAGCACCACGTCTGTCTGAATGCTACCACATTTCACTTCATGATGATGATGGACTAAACCTCTGAACTGTAAGCTGCCACCTCAAATATTTGCTTTATAAGAGTTGCTGTGGTCATGGTGTCTCTTAACAGCAACAGAAATCCTAAGTAATATAGGTGCTGGTACCAGGGACACAGGTATTGCTGTGATAGGACAGACCATGGTCATGGTTTCTCCTCAAAGCAGTAGAAATCTTAATTAAGATAAGGGCTCTTAGCCAGGTTCCTTCTCAGAAGTTGGACCCTACCTTTTGGTCCTTTTGGTCTTTTTGCGTCTGGTTTACGTCCCTTAGCATAATATTCCATAATCCATTAATCTGATATCTATCCTTAAGAGGTGAAACCAAGTAAGCGCTTATGTCATTGGGTATATGCACTCAGAAGAGATAGTATGACTACAGTACCTGCCTTTTCTTCATTTCATGTCTAGCTATGGGACAAATTGTCTTCCACCCTGATGAACATACACAGTGATACATTGGGCCATCATTGGTACAAAGCAGTGGAACCAATTTATCATGTGTTGAAACCTCCAAAACTATATATTCTTTTTAAGTTGACTTGTGTTATAGTGAAAATATGACTAAGGCAGTGGACAAACCATATTTTTATTTATTTACCTTTTGATGGATAGTTGTGCTGTTTTATATTGAACTAATATGAAGAATGCTGATATATATATGTGTGTGTATATTTTGTACATATTTTATTTAGATATGCTTTTATTTCTGTTAAATTTATATTAAGGGAAGGATTGTTTGCCCATATAGTAATTAATTATTTAAGGAACTATTAGTGGTTTCAAAATGGTTGTGAGGGTTTATGGTTTATAATCACAAATAGATAAGAATTCCATTTTCTTAATAGCCCTCCACAAGTATTGCTTGAATTTTCATCATTGTCATTCTACTATGTGTGATGTATTATCTTATTGTGTAATGATTTACATTTCCTTGTGATGTCAAGCACTTTGTTACTATTTTTAGATAAATGAATTTTCAGATATTTTCTATTTTTATTGGGTTGTTTTTTATAGTTGAGTTGTAAAATATCTAAGTATAAATCTCTCATAATCTACATGACAAAGAAATATTTTATCTGATTGTGTGATTTGTCCTTTCAGTTTCTTGTTAGTGTGCTTTGAAACTTAAAACCTTCATCTTAGAAAAATACAATAATACCTCATTTGTGAAACAATACAATACAATACTATAGTATCTCATTTGTTATTTACTTTATTTCTGTCATATGTAAATATACATTGCCAATCCAGAATGATGGAGATTTACACTTAGCTGCTTAAAAACGTGTTTTACTTTTACAAACCCTTACAGTTAAGTCTTCACTGTATTTTTTATGAGAAAGTAATTTTATTAAATTATAAAAGTTTCCATTTCCGCCCCTCCTCCCAACACCTTCCCACTCCCCCCACTCCCTCTCCCCTCCCTCTCCATCCCTAAGAGCAGTCAGGGTTTCCTGCCCTGTGGGAAGTTCAAGTTCCTTCCCCCTCCCTCCAGGTCCAGGAAGGTGAGTGTCCAGACAGACTGGATCCCCAAAATCCAGTATATGCAGGGGAAACAAGTCCCAGTGTCATTGTCAATGGCTTTTCAGAAAGACTCCGGGCCAGCCACATTCAGAGAATCTGGTTGGATCGCGTCCTCGTTCAGTCCCAGTCCAACTGGCCTTGGTAAACTCTCATTAGATCAGTCCCCTTGTATTAGTGGGTGATCGCATCCCTCGCAGTCCTGATTTCCTTTTTCATTTTCTTCCTCCTTCTGCTCCTCATTTGGATCTTGGGGTGCTCAGTCCGGTGCTCCAATGTGGGTCTCCATCTGTATCGCCATCCATCTTCGGATGAAGGTTCCCTCTGGTCTTGCCTTCTTTGCTCATGTTCTCTTTCCTTCTGCTTCACGTTTGGACCTAGGGAGTTAAGTCCAGTGTTCCAATGTTGGTCTCTGTCTCTATCTCCATCCATCGCCAGATGAAGGTTCTATGGTGATATGCAAAA